TTTAAGATAATAGGCATCTTTAAAAACCATGATGATAAAAGGAAATGACAAACTTAAAATTTCGACTTATGACAAGATACTGAAAATTGCTCGCCTACCAAACCTGATTCTAATCTAGAATTGAATCTTGAACAATGATAGTTTCTGAAGAGGAACCTCTACACCTATTCGAAAGACAGACTTTATGCAGAAGTCTTACCGTAACAATGAAGACATAAGAAAATCTAAAGAAAACAAGATGGAATTAAATAGGAGAGGTGGGAAGATTTGAACAATTCAAAATATATTCTAAATTGTTAGACGAATTATATAATTCTGCTTGAAGCACTTTGTCTCGAGTAATTTTTCTCAATGAGACTTATTCACTTAAATAAATAATTTAAATTTAAAAAAAATATATATTAATTGAATTTCTTCTTTATTAGTTTTCCGTCATTGCAGTTTTCATCAAAAATTATAATCTTTTCTTTAGATCACATAAGGAGGAAAGGCGAGATTGAATGCGTGACCAAATGAGCTCTAAACGACTTCTTCTCGAACTTCTCGTTGTCGTTGCAGTAGCAGGAGTAGTCGTTGCCGTACCAGCGACTGTCGTACCAGCGACATTGGCAGCTGTTGTGGTGACTTGGCCATTACACGAAAAGGCTAATACGGATAAAACTACCAAAATTCCGCAAAAACTTATCTTCATTTTTACAAAGTTTTTTATTCAAAGCACGTCAAACTCAATTCTAAGCACATTAAATTCAAATACTTTTATTTATATACAAATTTTGACGTGCAAAAACGCTAAAAATCAAAATAAATAAATAATGCTAATATTTGTTTAAGTGTTTTGCTCTGCAATTTATTTATTTAATTTTAATTTTTCACTTGTAGTTCAGAAATTAAATTTCGCAAAAAACACAAATTTCATGCTGCCCTCAAAAGTATGCTAAATAAAATTATTTTAAAACAAATTAATTTGCAATTCAGAAGTAAATATTTTTAATAGAGAAAATTTCTTTCTCAGTCAACGTAAACACTTCTGTTATGAAAGACACAAAGGCTCCTCAACACAGCTTCAAAACAATTTTGAGCCAATATTTGTGCATGAATAACAAGACAAATATTTTCAAAAAGTTTTTAAAATTTATATACAACATTAAGTTTAATATTTTCGACATTCTCCTCGTTGTTTCCAGTACAGCCACTTCAGTTTAATGGAAAAACCCATTGAAAGGTTGTAGTGAATTTATGAAGTAATACCGCCATTGACATGTATTGAATGAAAGTACCGACAGTTATAATAACTTCAAGTGCTCACAATTTGAGTGTCGTTCAAAATTCACAACAAAAGGTGAGATACACTAAAATAATATCTCATAAATACTCAAATATATAATATACATCTTAGGGCATTGATAGTTTGTAGCTCAAAAGTGTTCTACTTATGTGAATAATTGAGGAATTAAAAAAAAGACCAACATTAAGCACAATATATATAAGAAGATAATAATATACGGCAATCACTGCTCTTTTAGGTAGACTGCTTTTCTTGTCTAAATTAAAACTGCAGCTTTCTTCCGAAAAGCAGAAAAGTTAGGCGTTTTGTCTAGATCTTAACTAGACAGTAATTTTTTCATGTGTAATTATACAAACAAAATGTGGTACTTAATCACTGAATAAAAATTTAACTATTACTAGCAATTATTTAAGAAAAACAATAAGAACTGAAGTAATATTGCTTTTAACTTAAGCTCCTTAAGCTCAAAGTATTTTGTGGCATTAAAAACGACCACTATCGGTATATGAGATCTTTTCATTTTAATGAGAATTCCTTAAGAGCTCTTTAAGACCATCGAAAATAATTTACACCAACAACAGTCTCACTAGTGCCAATGAGAGTTTGCCCTTCCTCAACACAAAATTACGATTTAAAAGAGCATAAAGGCAGTGCTGCTATTTCTATTGAGAACCGAGCTGCAATTAAAGCCTTTCATTATTCCACCATAAAATTGAAGGAATAGGTGAACTAAGACTTTAGCTACCTATGCAAGTAACTAATCACTCTTTGGTTACTGAAGTAGAAATAAAGAAAGAACTAGAAAACTAGAAGGTTTGTACTGCCGTAGTGCCTTCCTGGATGTAAGCTTAGGGGTACCGGTTGTTATTCCTTTGGAGATCGTTAACAAAAGCTCTCACCTGTATTTTTTTCAGTTAGCTAATAATAATAAACTGAAGGCACTTAAGTCATGTGTAATAGGTGATTATTCTAGCTTATATATATATAACAAAACTAAATCTAAGGAACTCATTAAAAAGTAACGAATGAATACCGCTTGAAAAAGTGTCGCTCTGCAATTTCCAGATCGACTCAATTTCCTACAGAAGATGAAGAGCTATCATTAAGACAGCCATATTGTCATTTGCATAATGGAAACATTATACTATTAGCTTAGTTTTAAGACTTTTTAGGAGGGTTCAATACCACAACTCATCGAGGAAATTAAACTTGAGTAAAAACCATCGTAAACTCCATTTTCAAAATATTGTGACATTTCAATTTATTAGAACTCCCCAATGTAATTTTGAATGTAACATTATTCGAAATTCATTCTATTCAATTTTGGCTCATAATATACTCAATAAATTCAAGGTTCAATTCATTTTTCAATTTAATGAGATTTGGAATAGTTTAACATAGTTTCGTTATTCTAATAATGACGACTGATATTTTGAGAAAAACAGTTTACATTTATTGGGTAATTGCTCATTTTCATTGGAAATATGGTTTAAAGATAATAAGTAATACATATATTAAAATTAATATATTATTTTATTTATATCAATATTTTTGATTTAAAAAAATTTGTATCTTAGTTCGCCTTCTCGTTTCCATATAAATTATTTTTATGTAGGAGTATGCGTTGTTTTGGCCAATATTCTATATTATTAACTGAAATTAATGGGTGTCTATCTTATATTTTTACAATTTAAACTGTTTTTCTCATTTTAGTGTTGGGAAATAGAAAAATAAACTAAAAATAAGACAAAATCTGTTAACCCTTGTCAATGTTAAAAATACTTTTAAATATGTTTACTGGCAATAAATCTTTCCTGTTAAACTTTTAACACAATTAATTCATCAAATTACAACAATCCACAAAAAACAACAGAAAAACAATCGAGAAATAACAACAGCAACAAAATGTTGTTTGTCTGAAACTTCGGAAACGGATTTGTTCTTCCTCTACTGAATTTACATAAAACGTAGCATCTGATTTGTTATTTGTTATCCCTGAAATTCGAATCTGCTCCATACTACCAACAATAATCTCATTAATCAGTTAATATCGTAGCTGCTGTTGCTGTCTTGGGTTGCTGATTTCGGGCATGGAATGTTCGTAAGTTATTTGCTGACACTCACTGAATTATTTAAGCCTGTTGAATCGTGTTGTTAGGCATTCTCTAAAGAGATTAGGCTGCCTCCAACATTGTTGACGTGACTTGTTTGACTTACGCAGTCATTGAAACGATGCTGGCATATTTTGATGGTTCTTCCCGTTTCCTAAACAAGAAAATGTGGATTTGCGGTACTTCACAAAATATCATTCGAATACCAGCAACTGAGTAAACAAATATTATAGCAAAATTTTCATTTAAAACAGTAATTGTAGTATAAAATTTATTTGTGATATTAATAATAAAATAATATTTTCGTTTCTGATTATTGCTTTTATGTACCTCGGAGAAGTAGGATAACAACGTCAAATCGTAGGCAAACGACTATCTTTATTTATATACTGCATGTTTGATTTTCTGGGTAGTACCTTATTCACACTTAGTTCCATAAATAAAGTTTCCTTAATTTTAAAATCTCACTTATTTATTGTGAGCACAATGTTGTCAAATGTGACTAATAATATATTCAATATGTGTATGAATATATCTGGCACTGCACAAGTAGGTGCGACATGTGACATACACCTCACTATAGTTTAAATGAATAAACTGCAAGAATACCACCATAAACATTACTTTTTGTTTAACATATTGTCCTATATTTAAAGACAGTAACAGAGTTGTTTAGCGTGCGTACCTGTCATGAAGGCTTAAGGCCACTCTGCTCTACAAGCACAAGATAATGCGCCGATAAACCCCCCATTAGAAATTTTAATGAACTTCCGCCGGTTCCAATGGAGTTATATGCCTCTGCTGATTTTTGGATCTCAACACCTGGTGAATGATGATAAACAAATACCGATCATTCTTCCCGCGTAAGTTTAGGTATCAACCATAGCCACTACGACTGCGTCAACCACCTGACCCCCGTAATACCAGAATTACACCTCCGGTCGGGTGTCACAAGTGCCGTGTTACTTACTACATGTCGGCATAGCGCCAAGATTTAAGTCGCCGCTTACGATAATCATATTCTAACCCCTTACCCGCAGGGGGATATATTTAAAGACAGATATATTAATTGAAACACAAATCGTGAATAGTACTACTAAAATAATGAAATGAGAGAATAAAAATGGAGTAATTAGAAAACGGATTTTTTAGTTTTTTCAATCTCTTCCCTTTAATAATGAAATAAAAATTCTTTTCTTACAATATATAGCCTTTAGGCATGCACAGAATGCAGTAAGATACACATCACCACAACAAAGTAATCAATGCATATCATGTATTTCAGTAGTACTACATAACATATAACGAGTCTCAGTCATAAGACGAATGTGATTGAAATGTTTGAACAGTGACGATTGGAGTTATACAGAGCAAGCTGTCATTTATAATGACCTGAAATTAATTAATTCTCGGATTATTCTGTTTAACTAGACAAAAATAAGTAATATTCTCTAAATATTCTGTGACTGCATTCGTTATGATGGTGCAGTTGTACAAGCAAAGTTCAGGTTAATTTTTGAAATTTAAATACACACATGAGCCAGTCTTGGAATACGAAATCGAAACTGTATCAACGTCAAAATATTTAGCGCTCATTGGTTTAAAAACCATTCGACACGTATAGTGCAGTATGCAGTATCTAATCCACAAAATCGTTGCTACTTCTACCTACTTTGATACTATTTTACATTTTCATATGTAAAAATACACATTTTTTAATTATTTTGCATCAAATAACTTTAATTTTATTAAATTAATAAATGAAATTTTTAAATATATTTCTTTTCCAACTCTGCAAATCAACCTCTTCTTGATCGTTGATTATTTTGTTGGCGACCCTTCTTATTGTCTGGTCCACGTCTACGATTTTGATTTTGTCTTCCACCACGTCCTGGTTTACCACCTCTACCGGGTCTGTCACCTCTACCTGGTCTTCCAGGTCTACCTGGTCTACCTGGCCTTCCAGGACGGCGACTGGGTCTGCTGGTGCTGCTGTTACTTGATCCAACAGTGGTGCTCTCAGAAACCGTTGGTGCTGTAGTAGAAGCCACAACAGTGGTAGAGTCGTCAGTTGATGCAACAGTTGAGGAATCAGTAGAGGCTACAGTTGTGGAGTTCTCATCTTCAGAACTGCTTATAGATTGGCCATAAACAGATACAGCAAATAAGGCCACAACGGCGAAAAGTGCGAACAAATTGAATTTCATGATTAAGCTTAGTACTTAGTCAATGCTTGGGTACTTGAAGTGTGATGACTTCAGTTCTGCGGACGGATTTATTTATATGAAAATTCAAGATATTGAATTATTTGATATGCCTGATACGTATTTGCTATTGAAATTTAATTTGGGATTCACTGAGCAAATTTCGATGTTTGCATAGGTGTTATTGTCATCATTTAAATATCAATATC